CCAAAATGCCACATATTCTCCACATATTGAATTTATTTTCGTGTCACCAGTTACTTTTTTTTAAATAGCAGCATGCTATAGTTAAGCAAAAGAGGTTAGAAAAAAGGTCAAAATGACAAAACTTCACAAACTTCTGAAAATGCAGTTTTTAATGTCAATCAACATGAAAATGGAGCTAACAAGTAATGAGAATTAATTCTCAGGAAGGAGGAAAAACTTAATCCACATTGATGCATCTAATGTCAACCACCATAGATACCTGGGAATGGGGGTCTATCTTTTCTCCTCAGATTATGCTGTCCCCAGGATGCTGGCAGCTTTGTCTAGGAAGACTACATATTGATGTAGATTCCCTTCCTTATACAATGATTATCCTTCTTTCCATTATTCTCAAATCCAGACAAAGAGATTATGTTTTTGACAAAGTAGAAAACTATTCCTACTACATTGCTAATACATATGTAGTGTTGATAATTTCTTTGGAACTAGTATCATGGAAGCTAACCACATCCTCCCATTATTAGTTTTTTGGTGACTATTCATAGGCAAAATAGTAGATTCATGGGAGGTGGGGTTGACTTCTTGGAGAGTCAACACTTTAGACATGGCAACTCTTTGGGCAATCAATCATCAATAACACTAATCCCTGGTTAACAGTCCACCAATAATGAAATTAATTTCAAGAAATAAGGGAATACACATTAAAAGATCGATCTCACAATAGAATCTTTGACCATTGACTTGGCAACACAGAGGAAGCCTTAAATTGCATTTAATTACATGAAGAGCAATAACTCAAGTAGAAATTTGTAGAGAAATCTCAAAAGAAAGCAATAAGGGAATTCATTAATTGCATGTTGTGATTTCACCTTTTTCTTTAAGTAAACATAAATAAATAAAACTTATCAGCCAAATGCGCTGCATTGTACATTAACCTCAACTCTCTCAAGTGGAATCATCCTTAGCCCTTTCTGATCCTTGTGACCCCATGGGAACTTGGACTTGGACTTGAAACAACCCCCACTGCCTTAAAAGTCTGATACATGACAGTAGTTGAACTGTTCTTAAGAAGCAATGTAACCAATGGTAGTTGGAGGGTTGGTAGAAGTAAAATTAGATTTTTTTTTCTTCACTCATAATTTGAAGATTATAGAATGCGGTTTTTAAAGGTCAGAATGTATTACTAATTGAGTTGAGGCATTTGAAATTAGCAAATAAAACTGCTACTCATAATAGTGATTAAGGAATAATTAATCATACAGGGTGAAATGGCAGCAAAGTAGAGCCAGCAGTAAAATTATTTTTTTAACTAGTTACCACACAGCCTTCAGAGAGTGCTTCTAAGTAACCATAAGATATTAATTCCATTTCTTTCCTCTTTCGGTTATATTCTTAAAAATATATATATTTTTAAAAAATGTTAATGGTTTCTCTGGATGATACAATCACAGGCAGATTTTCACCTGCACAGACTCTCTTGCAGGTATTCAGAAATATGTGCTGTTTTGTCTTTCCTTAATCTTCTATTTAGCATGTGAAGGAATTAAGTGTTAGGTACCAACCTTAAACCCACTTTTTTAAATATAAATCACTGAAAAACTTGAACCATTTAACAATTATAATATGGAATTATTCCATCTATTCTTTAAAATCAATGCTAATTCTCCCCTGCTGAGATTTTTTTTAACATTTTATGTGCTTCTGGGTGTTTTGTTTATTTGTTTGTTTCACTAGGTTTGTATTATCCAGTCTTGGGTTTGATGCCCTCAGTCTATGCTGGAAATTTCAGGATTTCATTTTGTTTTTGTATATTAAATTCCAAGCCAAATGTATAAACATGAATATGACGATAAAATATTCAGACAGTTGATTTGACAGCATATCTCACTCTGGAAACAAATTAAGGCAGCATTTATATAGAGATTTACATTTGATGCATTTGTTGTTTATTATTAATTAGCTAATCCACACAATAAACCTATGAGGTAGTTTAGCATGCCTTTAATATGAACAAATTAGTTAAGAACCAGAAAAAGAAAAAAAAAATCTGTCACCACAATAAAATGTTGATCAGACCCTTCTTATTCTGGTCACAAAAGAAAAACAATCAATTCCTTGGACAAGTTGATCAAACAAACAATAGATATTTAGTTTGGATGGAATGTGGAGAGTGTAAGTTTATTCCCTGGCAGTTTAGAAAGTTTGTTTTCTTATTGGGGTTCTAATATTCAATATTCACACTAAACTGTCAGAAGCACCTCACTCAAAAATCAAATCTGCAAGAAATGTGAACACCCCCACTCTCTCAACCCCATTACCACCAGAGCTCAAATTTCCCTACAGGAGCATTCACATTTTGCATGTATTTTATATTTTTTGTCTTTTGGCCTGGTTGGTCCAATAAACTCACTTCAGTAGAAAGGTGTGAAAATTCTTGGCAAGCTAATTTATGTTTGGATGTCATCTAAGAGGCCAATGAAAAACAAATTCTATTGGTCTTTGTAGTCCAGCAACAGCAGACGAGAGTTTTATGACTATTTTTATCAGCAGAAGGAATCACTGTAGTCCTCGATACTTAGCAGATTGCTTTATGACCATATTTATTAGTTCACTGGGCTGTGGAGACTGTATATAAAGAAAGCTCATTAATTTGGGTTTCACTACCATGGCATTTGTGGCCATGGCACAGGTGCTAGCCTGAAGCTTTTTCAATGCACTGCAGAGGAAGACCTTTTTGTAAAGTGAATTTGAATTGCATGACCAGAACTGTAAAGAATGATTTATCTCTTTGAGAGATGGGCTGGACATGTAGCTCAGTGGCAGAACATTTACCTAGCATGCCATGGTCCTGGGTTCTATCCCCAGGACCACCAAAAGAAACAAACAAAATGATAAAACACACACACACACACAAGAAGATGGACCATTTCAATAACTTAACAGTGTTCTTTTAAATATAAATCATTACTCGCTAATATAAGGGGGACATTGGGTTTGTGTGTGTGTTGTAATTTTAAATCATTTTTCTCTTATAGCAGGAAAACTTTAAATGGACTATTTAGTTTAATTAACATTACTCCAAGGATTCTGGAATAACAAAAGTACTTCACTTACTGATAGTTTAGATAGTTTCTCTTTTCTAACTAGATGAGTTTCTTAAGTTCACTGGAATTGATATTTTACAGAAAATCCTTTGACTCAACTTCTCATGTGCTATAATCATATGTCTATCAAAGAAGCTCCAGGGCTGATGGGACCATAAGACAGGGACATAGCCAGGTTTGCACAAGTCTCTTTCCTCTCTGTGGGAATTAATTAGCCATTTGGAAACATTTACCTGACATCACATTCTCCCCCACTCATAATAAAATTAGAAAGTGAATTATGACTTAATTGAACACATGTAGCCATACCAAAACAAAGAACAAGAAACAGGTAGCTTCCCAAGTAGAGATGTTTCTATTCAAGAGTTCCCAAAATATAAACAACACTTATGTGGCCTTCCAGCATAAAGCTGAATATACATGGCACACTGGAAAGATAATTTTCCTCATCTGCATGAGAAAAAAAGAAAGAAAGAAACTAGGGAACAATCAAACAGACAAAACTTCTGGCAGGGTAGTCACTTTCACTTGGCAGGTTGCCAAAGAACAATGGTATTTAGATGAGCAACTCTGAAAGAATCTGATTATTATAGCTGAAAGCTTATCTATAAAGAGTTTGGCATAGCATTTCTGTAAAGCAAAAGAAATCTGTGTTCATAGGCTTTTCTATATTAGGTTATTAGAAAAATAAACACACTTCAGGGCATGAGCTCAGTCACTAAACACAAACAGAAACAAAGATTCTTTTTTTTTTAAACTCAGACAATGCTTATTTTACAGCAGAATTGACAAATAAAGCTTTATTTTACACATTCAAAAAAAAAAAAAGCCATCACCAGAGGTTTATACCTCTGTTTTGTGTGCTTCTTTCCAAAACAGCAAAATAGATATCCTCCCATCAAACCCTCCTTCCCTCCCTCAGGGCCACATGTGGCTGGTGTGGCTTTTTCTCTTCTGCAGACACAGAAACTGGCAGCCCTGGTCCCTCCTGAGTGAACCCTCCTCAAGGGAAGAGTGCCAAATTCCAAACACAGGAAAACAGGCACATTAATAACAACACTGTGCATTTCTGTGTCATTTCATTTATTGCTCACTGAGTTATAACCACCTTGGCTCTCCGCAGAAAACAAAGGATGCCCACCTGGAGATCAACCACCTGTGGGTCACAAGGTGCAAAGGGCAGCCCTGGCCAGATTCCAGCTGGAGCCTGATAGCATCCTGAATAGAAACTCAAATGTCCTGGCTTGTAGCCAGCCTGCAAGACACCACTTCTGGTCACCATGGGGAATGAAACCTGGAGAAAGAACTTTATGATTTGTACTCAGAGATGTTCCCCATCATAGAGGGGTGATTTTTCCAGTCATTCTATCCAGTGGTGTTCTTCCCAAAGTGATGGACTCTTGGCTCAGCAACAGGACTTCGATGAGAAACAGAAGAAATAGGGGACCTTGTCCTACCCAAGGCTGCTGTTTCATCAGGATTTCTTTACTTCATTTCAGATCATCAGTACCCCAAATTAATACCCACAATTCAGGCCAGCTTCATAAGAAATGCAAATTTCCATCTCATTCTGGGGTACATGATTTTTTTTTGGATGCCTTCAGTAAAAGATTTTACCAAGGTGAACTGCTGTGAAGTCATTTTTGCCTAAGAGGATCATCATGCAAGCAAACTAATTCTTTTCCTAAGCTACTATTTGGCAGCTTGCAGAAGACTTGGCTTCACCTTGAGAAACCATCCTTGGAGTGATCAGAAGAAAAGGATAAAGATTCTTCCTTTATTCATCCTCCTTGCTCTCATTCAGATGGCAAGCCTGGCTCACGTGTTTGAAGGTGAAGGACTGGTATTTCTCCATTATATATCTTCTACTAATAATGATTTGTTCAGATTTGTGCATGTTGCCACCGATTACGTTCAACATGATGACAAAAGAATGTTTATTTCTGGATAGAAGTGATTTACATCACAATCATCAAGGATTTCATAGAATATTTATACTCTGAGGAAATCTAGAATAAATTGAAAATTAGACTTTTTCACTCTTTGTAAGTTTGAATAATGCTCCAACTGTTTGCTATAGGATTATAATTTAGAACATGTGCTAAATATGTTATCAGGAAAGAATTATTTTAAAAAATCAAGCCAAATATCATGACTTACCACAAAACTTAAAAAAAAGGAAAGAAAGAAATCTCATTCACTTTCCAAAATCAAGATTAGTCATATGTTAATCTGTGAATCCTCATAAGAAATGTTCATTGTTCAAGAAGGGATCCTCCTCTAATGGTTGATAAGCGATTCTCCACAGCAGAGAAATGCTGGCATTTTTAAAATCTCTTGATTGATGTTTTCACTACTTATTCTTCAGGCTATAAGACAGAAAGGAACACAGTCTTACCTTCTTTCATATTACATATTCCAATGCCCCTCTCTTCTCTCTGCCTGCCTCCACCCACCTCCACCTCCACATTATTTCCACCATCAAATTTCGATAAAGCTGAATTTATACAGTGAATCTTTTAGGTGTTAAATAACCTTGTGTGTATAATAACTCAATTACCAATGCTATTTCCATGTATGTAGAAGAAAATTTATACCTCTACATGGCCGGTCCAGACACTAAATTCATTCCAAATGTTCCAAACATAAAAATAATAAATTTATTTTTACTTATGGCATGCTGCATATATCTATCTTTAATTTTCAGATATAACAATGTAACAAATTGTTCAGAGCAGAGAACAATGTTGTTAACACTTATATTTCAAAGTAACATTGGCTTCCTTCTCCATTCATTCAGAATTTTCTGTTAATAGGGAAAAAAATGTTTCTGGATTTTTTCTCAAAAAAGTATTGATTTTAAAGGATTTTAATTACTTTTCTTTCTTTCTGTTTAGAAGATGCTACCATTTATTACATACCTACTATGTGTCAGTCATTTCATATTTATTCTACATCATGACTTAATCCCCACAACTCCTTTAAGCTGAGTGCCACTTCCTCTTTTTGAAGGTGAGAAGACTAAGGCTTAAATTAGCTAACTCAATAGCATATAATCATACAGCTGTTAGAGACAGAATCTGAATCCTGAAAAATAAAACCAAATTAGGGGGCAACAGAGCTTTGTTTGACATTAATGTACAGGGGATTTCGCTCATGGTAGTGATGTGTTCTGACTGAAACAAGGCTGTCAAAATAGTGTCTTCTAGTAGCTGACTGTGAGCCTTAAGGCCATATTTTAGGGAAGAGTGTGGTGCAAGTGCTAGAGTGGGTTAGAACCCTTTTGTAGACTTTCGTGTCCCTCATCACTAAGATCCAATGCCTTAATAGAAATCTAATAACTCAAAGTTCAAAAGCTACAAAGGAAAAGTCTATTGACTCACCTAGAAACATACAGCATATCTTGAAATCTCATTTTCCAAGAAAAGTGCTGTCATAGAATATTCTAGGATCTGAATAAGAATTTGAATGTTGTTGGTAGAATGAAGACCAAAAGAAAATGAAGACTATAAGCATTTAAAAAAAAATAGCTTTGAAATTTTGCCTTGGAATGATCCAGGTAAGCACAGCCATTTTGTAATAGTTGCTATAAAGAGAAAAATTCTGTTTTAAAAATCTCACATTCAGTTTCCACCACCATCCGGTCATGACCTAAGGAAATTCTACAGTCATTCTCATCTTCATGAATTAATGTGACACAAAGGTTGGAAGTTCACACTGAGCAAACAAGTATAATTTCACTTTTATAAACTGCAAAGATGAACACTTCTCAAATTAAAATGAGCTTGAAGCATAGCACCTCTGTGTCATAGTAAAAAGACCAAATGAATCCTCAGCTGAGCTGTCTTCAGTCATGATTACATCATTAGATGAGACTAGATGAGAGGTTTTTTTTTTTTCAACTTATAGTAAATGTGGTATTTTAAGAACTTAATCCCATAATGAGTGAAAATATCATTGGTTTCCTTTTTATAGTCAGCATAATTATTTGGATCCTTTCTGAACACATAGAAGTAATGACAAATTAAAATACCTTTCAATTCCATATAGCTTTTATAATTATTCATGCATTACTGTTATCATTGCTGGAATGGATCCTTCAGATTTTAGTCAGCATTCCATTTGAAACAAAAGAACATGGAAAATTTTATAGCTATTAATAAATATGCAGCCATCCAATCTAAGAGGAAAATTCTTTTTCATCTGAGAGATAAACTGCATAATTCATGTATTCTCAGAAATTTCTTTAAATAGAAAATTGAAGAAAAGCATGAGAAAAAAATTGTTATATTGTTTCTATTTGCAGTAAGGGACAATCTTTGTTCTCTAAGTCTTAAATCTGATTTGATTGACAGGTACAATTTCAGCTGCATCCTATATACGCCAGTCACATAGTCCATCCACCAAATGTTCTATATAACAATAAACATTATGCCCACGTGACCTCTGTTTCATTTTTGCATATTTACCAAAAAAAAGTAACTAGATGTTAAGAGAGACTTTATTAGTATCATGGAATGTAATTAGAAAAAAATAGAGCCATTTTGAATGGATACCAACATTCCACTAAAAGAGAAGTTTCCGTGTCAGGGAATTATGGAGCTGCATCTAATTTCTGTGAACTCCAGACCCCACTGGAGCTCTAGCCCTACAGGGATGTGATGGCCTGCAGGACAAGTCAGATGAGAATCACACCTGCAAAACCAGTTAAGTACCAAAAATTCCTCTTCTTTCCACTATCCTCTCTTTTCTACACCCTGACTTACAATGACCTACAAGAGGGGTGATGCTCTGAGCTGGGTATCAGACAGAAGTCTTTATGCAGACAGGTTAAACTACTGAAAGTGATCTCACCCTCAAAAATGCCAAGAAATATACACAATCTTCCTGAGACATTATCAAGGTGAAGAAGTACAGAAAAAGAGATTTGACCACCATGTGTTCGCAGGGAGTAGCTAGAGAGAAGTTTAATGATTTATTTGTCACACACTAAATTGAAATTGTCCAATAAATCAATTAAAAAATAAAGCAGAGCACTCTCAGTTATTAGAAAGTCTAGCTTCTGATAGCCAGATAGTAAGTTCACAGTCACAAACAAACCAAAAACCACCATGTCTATGGCTCAAATGAAATGATAAGGATAAATTTGTTAGATGCAGAGGAGTCACAGACATTTTCCACAACCATGTTGCTAAACAGTCATGACTTTGACATTATTCAATCTGTCACTTGAAAGTGAATGATACCAAGAAATTAACACCTTTGCTCAATTTATCAAAATAGTACCAATGATAAACCAAGTGAAATTATATCTTCTACTTTCTATTCTGTACCCCTCCTCCTACCCCTGTATTCCCTATCTTAAAGGCAGAAATTTAGATTTTGCCTAGACTGGTTTGACTCTTGAATATGCTATTTCCTCTGCATCCAGTGACCCATACCTTATTCCAGGCTCTTGACATTTGTACTAGTCTTTTATCTGGCACCTTTGCAACCATCATACTAGAGGTTCAGTGCTATGCCGGCAGCCCAACACCTCCTGGAGAAAATAAAATATCTTTGCACAATACACAAAGGTCATTGATGATGTGATTGCTGCCTTTTTCTCTAGTGCCATCTACTGTAAGTGAACCTTTCAGGATTACCCTACATCTCCATGACTCCAGAGAATTACTTGAGGTTCCTAAACCTGCCATGTTCTCCTGTACTGTTTCAGTTTGCACAGACTCTTCTTTCTGTCTGGAAACTCACCTCTGCTCCCTTCCCTTGCCCACATCCTCTCATTCTGTGTGGAAGCATGCCTCTTCCACGTATCCTTTTCTGAATTCACCCTGACACCACAAAATGTACTTGGGATGTTTTCAGTAGACACTTGGGAATGGAGAACAAAACCTTAATAGCCAAAAGCTGCAGGAAGTGATCACTAAATTTCTGGGTTAAAGACAAGGGTTCTGGTGTTCTGTTTCCAGGAAGGTTGTATGTCAGGAGATTGAAGGGTTTGGGGAACAAAAAGAAGAGAAAAAGACTGTGAGAGCAGGGAATGAGACAGAGAGACAGTGAAGCCAGGCAGGTGGTGTTGTACTGTGTACAGTGCTCTCTCTGAACGATGCACAAATCTTAAATAGTTGTCTAAACAAATAATTTTTGGCAAAGTATTAGTTTTTAGTGTAATTCTATGTAGTCTAATTGATACAGGGGCAGGGTAGGAGGAAGACACAATCAAATGCATAAGGGGAGAAAGATGCAGAAAGAACATAAGGCATTGAGAGTTTAAAGTGAAGGCCTGGCTTTCACCCTTAACATGTAGTCCTATGTCAGTTCAAGATGAACTGAAGGTGGGATGGGATCAGCTGACATCTCTGATTTCTAATAAGCACAAGGTGAATCTATATAAGTTCTTGAACAAACAAATCCTATATACTATAACCTAAGGGATAAAGATATACTTGAAGATAATTGGGCTAATTCAGAGAAAAGTCAGGTATTATAGACAGAAATGAAGAACATTCAAAAGTACAGGGTATTTAAAATGAATGCAGCTTACTTCTTAATAGACATAGACTAGCAAAATTGATAAGAATGATTTGTAATTAATTTACCAAAACACCTAAGAAAATAAGCCTCCTCTGCTTATATAGAATTTGAGTTGTTTATATGCAAATGAATGCTCCTGATGTATTTCAGAACAGTTTAGTCCCTTAAGAAGGCAAATATTCTCTTTATAATCTTGTTTACACTATTCATTTGCTCTGCAAAACATTTTTCATAAAACCTCAAAATAATGAAATGTTAGAGCCAGAAGGGACCCCAGGGATTGTCTAAGAAAGCCCGATATCATCATTTCACAAATGAAAAAACTTGAAGGAGCCCCTAAGACATATATATTCTTGCTATTCCTGAGGTCTGCAGCTTCATGCCCCAATCCCCTGTTCTGGGGTGACTCCATGCATCCTGTGCAGACTTTAGCCACAGTAGGCAAATGCAAACAGAACAGGAACCTGCAGAGTGCTAGCCTTGGAGGCATCATTAGTATGCATTAGTCTCCTAGACTGAAGTCCAAAGAGCCCAGCTCCCCTTTCCATTCACCTATGGAACAGGAAGCCTGGTTAATTCCTATTTATTTCTAAGCTTCAGTTTCTGCATTCTCTCTTCCAAACTTTCTGTGCTGCACTTATCCACCACCCCTTTTTCCTAGTTGGGTGCCAGTCCTAAGTGCTTTCCTTGATTATTTCATTAACCATCTCATATTACAATACGTTGTTCACGGTCTTTGCTCCCATCAAATAAGCCTGGGAACTGTGTCTCTTTCTTTCTGTAGTTTCAATGCTTATAACAAGCACTACAAGTGATACATAACCTTTTCCTAAATAAACACATGAAAACCAGGAAAGGAGTCAGTTGCCAAATTAGGAAGAAGACTAACTCCCAAATCTTCACATTTCTCCTTTACTATCCTATCCTGGGAAAGCCCATTCCTATTCTGCATTTTCAGATAAGAAAAATTAGTATTTAGAGCATCCCTATCTCTATTATTAGCCCTTTGACTATTCTTATATATGCCAAAGACTTATAATTAACAGATCTAAACTCCACGTCAATTATTAACATCCAACATCCACTATTTGGATGTTCCTATATAATGTCATCATTAAACCTCTTTTACCCATCTATAAAACAAATACATCAATGATATTTTCCTCATAGGAGGGTCATTAGGATAAAATGAAATAATGTATTTGAATGTGTCCAAGAACCACTAAAAAATTAGACATGCTTATGTCCTTAACCTTCCTCTTAATCATTTGAAAGAAAATTTTCTGTATGTATAATGAAGAGTTAGCCCAGCATTTATCTCAGACTCTGAGATGGAGGTCTTTAATCATCGGAATTTCTCGAATTACAGAATGATCTTTGCTATTCATGGTAGACCTTGGTATTTATGCTAATGAAATGACTCTTGATGAATCCCTAGTTTCAGGAGGAGGCTAGCTATGCTGTTAAGATCAACCATGAGTTGAGGGATGAGGCCATATGATACCAGCTAAGAGAAGGGCTGGAGATTAAGATCACATAGCCAATGAGTCAAGCAATCTTACATAAATAATGAAACCACAATGAAAACTCTGGACACCAGAATTCAGTTGAGCTCCCTGGTCAGTGAATACATCAGAGTGTTGGGAGGGCAACGTGTCCTGATTCCATAAAGACAAAGCACAGAAGCTCCATGCTGGGGTCTCTCTAAGACCTTGTTCTCCACACTTCCTCATTTGGCTGATTTGTTTCCATTATAATAAAGTTATAATGAAAAGTGTAGCTTTTTCCTGAAATTTGTGATTCTTTCCAGTGAATTATTGAGCTTAAAGTAGTAGTGGAAACTCCCAAAATTGTAGGCAGTTTGTCAGAAGGACAGGTGAGCTCAGAGCTCTCAGAGCTTGTAGCTGATATCTGAAGTGTGGGTGGTCTCGTTGAAGGCTGAGCCCTTAACTTGTAGGATCTGTACACTGATTTATTAGCGTCAGGACTGTGTTGCATTACTGCAATAGAAAACTTATCTGTTTGCTTTTTAATTTACAGAGCCCAATTCTTACAAGGCAACCACTGAGAGGGTTCAAAGTGGTATCCCAGGAATTTCTCTGCAGAGAAGAGGCATTGCAATGTTGTCAGAGAGTAAGTTTTATCATCAAATGTTTGACCTCAAATCCCACTTCTAGCAAATACTAACCTGTGTCCTCTGCCTTAATCTCCTGATCCATAAAATAGATATTATTATATCATATGCATAGATTTCACAGGGCTGCAGTGACAGAAGAGCTAATATAAGAAGTGAGTTAATATATAGAAGTATTATATAGCTGGTACATAGAGTGAAAAAACAAATGTTGCCTTTTATTTATTTTCACATTCTACATTGATCTCAGTTTTAGGCTAAGTTGATTAATGAGTCTTGCATAATTGGCACAGAGAGACAGACAGTGAGACAGAGAGAAAGAGAAATAGAGAGAGACAGAGAGAGAGAGAGAGAGAGAGAGAGGAAGAGAAAAGAGAAAGAAAGAGGAAGAGAAAGCAAGAGAGAGAGAAAAGAGAGAGAGAGAGAGAGAGATGACAAAAAGTGATACTTTCCAGAAAACAAGAGCAGTTCTGGTTCTACCTGTTCCAAGAGAAGTAAAGGATCATGATAGAAACAATGGAAAGTAGCATAAAGATGGTGGAGGTTGGAGGTAGACTAATACTGATAAGTATATCATACTAACCTCTCCAATAAAGGGAAGCTGAAATGATCTAGGCTATACTTCCCACTATGTATCCAATGGCCACATGTGGCTATTTAAATACAAAGAATTTAAATTTAACACAGATACAAATTCATTTCCCTGCTGGCACTAGTCACATTTCTAGTATTAACAGCCACAGGTATCTAGTTGTTCTTTATTATATAGAGTAATTATAGAACATTTCCATGATCACAAAACATTTTTTTTGGACAATGTTGGTCCAGAATCATCAAAAGTATCTGATTTCAGATATATTTTAAGGGTAAATCATAGTTCATAGTTTTAATAATTCTATAGCTATGTAAAGTCCATTAATTTTCTCCCAAGCAGAAAACAAAAGGAGGAAACATGAAGGATAATTTTTTAGAGAGATGGACCACTACTGTGTTCAAAGAATCTATACCTCTATCTTGAACATTTTAGTACCTATCGGCTTAGGCAGCAGATGAAGAGAAAATGTCAGAACTCTTGATATACTGTCTTCATCCCCTTCAGCTCACAAGCAGACTGCCTGGGGTACATGTTGTTTAAAAACCTGAAGGCCAATGTCAATCAACTATTAATAGGCTCAGGTCATCAACTCTGGAAATGAAAGGCTGCTGCCCAAACCTGGCCCTCAGGCAGAATGGGATGAAGGCCTGAGTTGGTAAAAGCTTGTGTTGGTGTGGTAGGTGGGGAGGTTAGAGGAACGGAAAGTGGTGAAGACTGGAATAAAACAACCCACACACTTTGTGAGGTATATATCTGAAAAGAGTGGGACCTACAAGGGAATGGGGTGCAGCCCTCCCTGAAGAGGGAGGTTCCAAGCTACAACAGAGATGAAGGTTGCAGGAGGGTGATGGAAGAGACATGATAGTCTACCCACATGTAGGCCCCTGAGAGATTGAGATAGACTCTAGCTGGCAGGCTAGTAGATAAAATAGTAATAATGTATAATACAGTTTTAACAAGAAATTATTTGACAACAATTATATTATCATCAACCCCCCCCAAACATTATGTGATGCAATGAATGAATATACAAAGATCATTAAGTTAAAATCTATGCCAGGATTTGCCCCAGAATGGATACATTTCAAGTGTCATTTCATTTCCTGAGCCTGATTCCTCATCTATTCAATGATTAAAAGGACAAACCCATTCTCTAGATCTTCTTCACCTCCAACATGCTAAAATCCTATGGTCTGCTCAAAGGACTACACCAGAAATAGATTCAACCTTGTTTGTCTTTCCATTCTAAGATTATCAGTTTTTTTGTGAGTCTCATCTAAATAACAACAAACTTCAAAATGCCAAATCTGCAGAAAGAGAGAATTCTATAACCAGCTTTCTTTTCTTTTTTTCCTTCAGGCTCAGAGTTTATGTGCTAACCAGCACCCACTACAAACACAGCCAAAACTTTCAGCAGATGTCCATATTCACTACTGAAAGCTGTCAGCACATTTTGTCAACACAGCCAAATTCTCTTATAAATGTGCTGATAGGCCAAAGAAGAGGCTAGAGAAAACCAACGTATGAGCACGGAAAGGCTCTTAGTGGCTGTGGTCAGTGTGACAATCTCCAGGGCATCCAGGTGTGGATCAAAGTCCTCTACGGAGGACATCAATATCAATAGTATCTGCATAAGACTAACTAAATGATGTGGGAACAACTCATCCATGAGTAGGAATCATCTTACTAAAAACCCGCCATGATCTCCCACTCCTTATGAAGGTATCCTCCCGATTGCCCCATGATGCAAAGTGAGGTACACTGCTGTGGGGTGTCACTGGATACTACCTGAGTCCTGTAATCCACAGAAAATTCCTTCACCTCTCTGAGCCTCAGTCCTCTAACTTCTAAATTGGGGGTTAGACATCTACTGCATAGGACATTTGTGAAGTATAAAGGAGTTAATGAATGTCCTTTGTTAGTGGGAAAATTAGTGATAAATAAAGCTATCCAGATAGAAATCTAGAATTTTAACTTTGTATTATCATATAAATTTAATATATAACTCTAATTAAGATAAGATAATTGTAAAGGTCAGGCGAGCATCAGAGGAAGAGACCACCAAGAGACTGTCTCATGCAACAGCAAAGGGTTTATTGGGGGTCCAGCATGTTGGGGCTCACAGCTCACTTGAATAGAGCAAAGAGCCCTGAGAACAGCTTAAGCAGAGCTTATATACTTTCCTTGGAGAGGGCAGGGAGGGAAGTTCATTGATGGGTCAGGGCGAGTGGGCGGTTTGCCTGCAACCGGGTGAGGGAATACATTCTGCAGTTTGGCAGTTGGGGACAGCACATTCTGGGAACAAGATTAGCAAACAGTTCTCAAGATTATTAACCTTTCATAATGAGATAACACATTAGCCAAATAAAACATCATCAATGATTTGTTTACATGAAGAATCTCTGTCATCATGGACTTCCAAGTTTCCAAGGAATCAAATATATTTGAGCTATTGAGAACAAGACACTTGTCAGATTGGAGGTGCTGGACACTTTGGCCTAGGAAGATGGGAAATGTAAAGATCAATGAAACCAGTGGTGGAGTGGGCAGGGCACAGAAGAACAGAGAGGCATCACAGAGAAGGTTCAGATATTGTGGGAGGGGTTGCTTGAATAAATTTTCTGCTTTGCAACTCTGCCCTGACCAACTTAGTGAGCTGAGGAGATTTTCAAAGTGTGACAGGTGTTATCTGATTTTTTTCATGCTGGTTATAGTAAGTTTTAAGAATGATGCTTTAAAGGAAGAACTGTTGAGCAAAAGGGAACCAAGATTGATCACTTGGAAAATTCTCAACCTTTCCAGAAAGAAGAAAAATGCTAAAATTTAAAAATTGGCTTCCGAGTGTATTTTATCCACACTTCTACTTTCTACAATTTCAGTTACCTATAGTCAAACATGGTCTGAAAATATTAAATGGAAAATTTGAGAAGTTAATAATTCATAATTTTAAATCTGGTAAGCATAATGATGAAATCCTGCACCATTCCATCAATCCTATCTGGGACATTATTCATTCCTGTCTTGCATTTCCATGGTGTATATTGTACCCTCCCAATGGTCACTTAACAACTGTCTTACACATCAGATCAGCTGTTGCAGTACTGCAGTGCTTTTATTCATGTAATTCTTACAAAATAGCCTAACTTTACATCACAATGCCTATGTCACTCACCTCACCTCATCATAACATCTCACATCATAACAAGGAAAACTGTGAGTATAGTAGAATAAGATATAAGGGTCCTTCTCAGAAGGACCCCAAAGGTTCCAAAGGGCTTTTCTTAGAGTGATTTGTGGATATGACTTCTTTTCTGGTAAAGTAAACCCAAATAAGATTCCAAAGATCTCACAAAGTATTTGAGACAATGACATCAACAGAAACACTGCCATTTTAGACTGATAAAAGCAGAGATGGCATGAAAGGAAAAGAGGTCAGTCAACTCCTGAAGTTCTACTGTTGGAAGTCAGACAATAAACTACTGGGGAGTTTCACCAGCTTTTTTGAGGAAGGATGGCTGACTCCCGCCAACCAAGGCAGGTTTACCTTCTGAAATGACTTCTAAGATCTCTGAATCCTGGATTCCATGTCCTGGTGTAATCCTGTCCTTTGGAATGTTTCCAACACTTGGACTGTGACGTGTATATGGTATGCACATCCTTCTCTTTCTCTCTCTCTCTCTCTCTCTCATTTGCCCTGATGGCTGCTTGTTGCTATTTGTTGTGAGCTTCCCATGCCCAAAGATGCCCCTGGCCAGTAGTTTACTAGTTGTTCCAACAACTTACCAGGAACCAAATCCTACCAGAAATCATTTGAGTGAGTTTGGAAGCAAATCTGTCCCTAATTGAGACTTAAGAAGGCTATAGCCATGGTTGAAGTCTTATGAGAAATTCAAGAGTGGGTAGCCATGTTAAGTTATTCCTGGATTCTTAAATCACAGGAACCATGAGATAATAAATGTTCTTTCAAGTCACTAAGTTTTGGGGTAAGCAACAATAGACAACAAATAGTGTTATAGGTTGAATTGTGCCCCTTCCTAAATTCATATGTTGATGTCCTAGCCCCATTACCTCAGAATGTGACCTTATTTGGAGATAGAGTCATTGTAGATACAATGAGTTAAGATGAGGTCATCCTGGAAGAGTTGGCCTCTAATCCAACATGACTGTTGTCCTTAGAGAATGCCACATGAAGACTGGAGCTCTGCTGGCACAAGCCAAGCAGCTACCAGAAGCTAAGAGACAGTGCTGGAGCAGGTCCTGCCCTAGCACCTTCAGAGGGCACAAAACCCTTTTGTCACCTTGAGCATCTTGGCTTTCTAGCCCGAAATGTGAGACAATAAATTCCTGTCATTAATGCCACTCGGCTTGTAGGTGTTTGTTATGGCAGCTACAGCAATTAAGACAGGCACTGAATGGGAGGAGGAGTGTGATCATGGAGTGTACCAAGCAGGAGGGGCATGTGCAAGGAAAAGTTTGCCCTGACCCCACAAGTCCCCTGAAATGCTGATATCTCCTAACTAAAGTCTGGTGAAAAAAGAAGACTAATCAAATACCATCTCTTCAGAGCTGTGCTGATCACAGAACAATGTACTGATTCACCCAGGTGGACATGGGCCTTGCAAAATGACCTCCTTCACAACCTCACAAAGGTAAGTGGGGTAGGGTAGCAGCAGGAACACAGGCACAAAAAAGGGAAAAGGCAATACAAGGAAAAAAATTCTACATGTATGTTACCTATACTATACATGATCAGCCCTAGGAAAAAAAGAAAAATTGACTCCATTTTGTGGAAATCAATTTACAGCACTAGCTGACCTATTTAAAGAAACCATGGAATGAATCACTTTAAGAAGGAAAAAAAATTATCTTCCAATGTACCTCTTACATAAATTTTGGCTCTATGGAGAAGCACATCTGAGCTCATTTCTGAATGTGATCGAGTGGGATTCTAAGTATTAGGTTCCATCAATTCTCAAACTCCATGTATTCACTTTTCAGTTAATACACAAAAGAAATTGATTATGGAAAATGAAGGACTGAAAAACTGACAGTCTGATTAAAATTCATGCTGACTGCTTCTCATTCAGTGCTGGGAAGTCCTAGTGGGGATGAAAATCCTTTTTTTTGTTGACTTTGTTAATACTCAAGAAGAAAGACTGAAGAAATGAATTACATTCCAGGAGTCCACAGAGAAAAACACCGATTCCTGAGACAGCATAATTATCTGCTTCCCTCTGATGACCTTTACTTCCCGGTGACTGGCAAAGAAAGGGAAGAGAGCAGGGCTCTCAAAGGCTCTGTGTGAGCTGCAATTGCCAGGAAATCGCTCTGTTCCTAACCTATTGCTACAGAAATGTAGGTTAGGTGCAGCACATAAAGCTGCATGGAAATATGGCTCAATACTGCTCCTGCCAGATCCTCTGAGCACAGACTCACACCAGAGGCTGGTCTCAGTAGAGGATAATTTTTTAAAAGGATTTAACACACACATAACAAATGGGGAAAATATGGAAGTGTAATCATGATAAAGACTGACATTTTTCAAGGTGCATCATTTGCAATATTTTGATTAGCTCCCATTTCGGAATGGCTAAGCAGCTTATGTTAATAAACCGCAAACTCCAATTAGACATCTGTGTGTGCAGTCTAAATGGAACCCTTGGCTGGCTTGTGTGTCACTGGTTTTCCCACAGTTTGTCCGTGTGCGACTCAGTCTGGGCATCCAGAAGGTTTTCAGTGATCTTGTGAGCCACTAGGGGTTGGCATAGGAGCCCCCGCTGCTCTTTTGTTGATGTTATTTCTTTCTCTTCTTGGCTTTTCCCACAAGTCCCTCACAGTCTGACTCCATGACCTAAAATTCAGAGTCTAGAAAGCAGCAACTCCCTGCAAGGAACCCTCCTGTTGACTGCATGAAAGCATTTAACTGGCTATATGAAAACAGAAGAAATCATAGCATGATGGGGCCAGACAGATCCAGATAGGACTTTGAACCTTTCCATTTTCTAATCATGTGACTTGGGAAATTTGCTTATGTTTTCTTAGCCCTGACCTCTCACCTGTGAACGGAGATATTAATATCTGACCCTTACACATATTTAGAGCCAGGCACGATTGTAATATTCTGGGGACACAGCAGGAAATCCAAATGACAGAAACCCATGTCTCATATTTTTGTATGAACAGATTGGTGATGAATAAAAATAAGAAAATTGTATGATACATCAGAAGATAAGGACTTTAAAGAAAAATCAAGCAGAGCAGGGGGTGAGGAGGACATGGGATTAGGAGTTGCAAATTGAAATAGGGTGGCCCAGGAAGGCCTGGTGTGGAGATTGCCATTGGTCTGTGGTTGTCAGGGAAGAAGCAGTCTGACTTATCAGAAGTGCACAGCATTGAGGCAGAGCTTGCTGACGGGGTCTTCAAGAGATAACAGGGAGTCTGTGTGGCTGGAGCCTGGGAGAGAGCAAGAAGCTGGTTGGTGGGCAATGTGATACCTAGAGGGAGGAATGTCTAAGTGTGTGGAGGACCCTTTTGGCCATTGTACAGGCTTAGACTTGAAATCTGACCAAGATGGAAAGCTTTTAATTCATTTGGAACCAATAAGTGGCTTGATCATTACAATTTAGTGCATTAAAGGAAGAGGATGATGAAGAAGGAAGAGAAAGAAAAGGAGGAAGAGGAAAAATGATGTGAAGCACACAACGCATCTCTTCACACACGTAGGTGATTTCAAAACGCTCATTTGAAGTCCTCCTCACATTCCTCAGAGAAGCACAACCAACATTATTTCTTTTTCCTTCCCCTTTCTACCAAGATTTGTGATTTTATTTTTGTACCAGGGATTAAACTCAGGGGCACTCAACCACTGAGCCACATCCCCAGCCTTATTTCTTATTTTGTATTTTATTTAGAGGCAGGATCTCACTGAGTTGCTTAGCGCCTTGCTTTTGCTGAGGCTGGCTTTGAACTCAGGATCCTCTTGCCTTAGCCTCCCAAACCAGAATTTTTATGTTGCCTGAATTAGTATTAGGGAACTTAAATAATAGAAATGAAGTTTTAAAACCAAAGCATGCTGTTTGATAGAGAATCTGATAGTTTCTGTGAGTGACTTCTGCTTGTCTGGGTCAAGGATGTCAGATAATGCTTTACCATCCATCATCAGCCTAGAGATAAGGATACTTTGACAGGCTTGAGCAGTTCACTTCTCATATATGTTTAGAGGGCAAGAAAGAATTTTCCCCAAAAGACACGCAGAAAGACAAAGACAGGTAGAACTTTGTCTGTTTGGTGACAAACTTTTTTTGGACTCTCATGATGTTGCAGTCATTATATTTTCTTTCTTTATTTTTATTCATGGTGGAGGGATGCTTCTGCTAACTAGATAAAGGCCAAAAAGATACAGAACTGCAAGAAAAGTAAGTTGCTTATACTCTCCATTTATGAGATTTGAGGTTACTAGCTGACTCTTTTGGGATGATTAAAAATACCACCAGAGAAAGGCAGGATCATAGTAAACTTGTCTGCATCTCAAGCACTGAGCTATCTGCTGAATGTTGGGTAAAACTGTGCAATGCCATTGTCCAAAACTTACTTTTTCTCCAAATTTGTGTCTCTTCATGCAATCCTTAGCTTAGGGAATGTCTGCTGTCTAAATACCAAGCCAGAGACCTGGGAATCAGGGACTCCTCACCCGGCATCACTAATAATGTGATGTCATTTCTGCTTTTCAATTACCTTTCTGAACATGTGCATTTCGACGTTTAATGCTCTTGTTCAGAAAACACATTATTCTAATTCTTCTCTGTTTCTTGTCATATCTTCTAATTGATCTGCTGATTGATTTGAAAGGGGAAAAAGAAACCTGATTAAGTCTCTTTCCTACTTAGAACTTCTCAATTTCCTCTCAGTGCTTAAATTCACTAGATTTGCATATTAAAGTCTGATTTAGTTGCATCTCTTTGGTATTGTTTCCTAATACCCTCCCCTTTTGCCATCTTGTTTTCTCACCCAAATGCCCCTTATACTCCAGACACAATGAGCCTGCAGTTCTCCCACAATGCACCAAACTGGTTTAAGTAGATCATTTGTTAATTTTCCCTTTCAGCCTGCAGAACTGGCCTATTGAGACTTTGGTAGCCCAAAGAATGTGCCTGTCAGACGTGAACCTCTAGGGAACAGAGTGAATGAAGGGTCCCAACTTCTGAGTTGTGACTGCCTTCTCCCAGGATGCTTCTAGACCATTGATCAAGTAAAGCAGGGATGTTAAGGCAGGCCCTTTCCTGGAAGACAGGGGATTCATATGAAGAAACTTTGGCTCCATCACCCAATTACCCCACTGTCTAAGGTCGCACACAACCTTTATTTCTTTTGATCCTTCACTCAGGGCTAGACTTGCAATCTGACAGCTCTCCCAGTTTCTTCCATAACTTTCTACATTTTCTTTCACAGATATTTTTACCTAACCCAATTCTTGAAATCTACTCTCTGATGACCCAGTCACAGACTAACCGGACAATCTATAAAAGCCTACCCTTTAGTTGGCATATTACTCCTCTACAAGATAACTTATGACTCCAAAGTAAAATAATACATCATATGTAACAACAGCATAGTATATATATGATAACTATACAACAGGACTATAAATATGAGACATGCAAATTTTCACATCTCTACTGTAGCCTACATGAAGTGTCATTACACTTCCTGTCATACTGCATTTGCTTATTACAGTGACGGTGTCTTATACAGCATCTCTGTATTCACAGAACTGAGCACAGTGACTGGCCCACAACCAAAAATGGTTCATCAGCAACCAGGAAAACACTTAGCATATAGTAAATACTCAGCAAAAATATGTTGAAAGAGTCAACCAATGTTTACTGAATGAGTGAATGACCGTTCATGACTGAATGGAAACATGAATGAATGGCACAAAAGCCTATGGCCAAAGACTGATATTGAAGAAACTCCAGAGGGGAAGAAAAAGCACTTTTTTTTTCCTTAAAGGAAGAATGGAAAATAGAAACTTCTGATTGGTTAATGAAAGGACTGTGAGAAAGATACCAAACTGTCCCATTAGGACTTTTGAGGCATAATTATAAATTATGTATTATAAATCACATATTTAGAATTTGATACTTTTTGTGTTTGATTGTTATTTGGTTCTGTGGTTAAGTTTTATGCAGTAAAAAATGCATCAATATTCAAGAAAGGTGAGCAGTTTCTGGTAAGGAACGTACAACCACATCCTAAGCAGAACAGATCTGAATTTGCAAAAGGGACTCAAAGGAAATCATGGCTCCCATTTTAAATATTACTATAGTAAACTGTGTTGTCAACAGCAACTTACTTTATGGAATGAGAAAGACTGATAGCTTACCTATACCAGTTTTTCAACTAGGGAGATACCAGCATTTTAAGATGATGCATCTATGATGTATGTGCATTTGCAATTTTCCATTTTCAGAAAAATGGGAAAGATGTAGTATATAATAGAGTTTAAAAACTTGGATTCAAATCCCAGTTTTTTTTTTTCTTTGCTTGCTGTGCGATTTTGAACAATGAACTTAACCTCCCAGAGCACTAATTTCCTATAAAAGGGAAATGATATTAAAACTTCTCATACAGTGTTTGTGAGGATTGAATG